GGGCGATGACGGAGCGAGGGTTACATATGTCTGCAGACGGAATTCGGGAGACTCGCAGGACACTGGCTACAGGAAAAGGGCTTGATAAAGCTGATGATTTACAATTCCTGAGCACTCCTAGCCACTTCGAAAACGGGGATCACAGCAGGCCTCGAAAGTGGCGACAGGTTCACAGATCGCAGCCCCGCAGGGATGGCGAGGTCTCATTTGAATCTGCCCGTGGCCCTCACTGTGCTGGGCCCCCCAGCAGGCCTCGAAAATGGCGGCAGTTTCGCAGATCGCAGCCCCCCAGGGATGGCGAGGTCTAATTTGAATCCGCGCGTGGCCCTCACTGTGCTGGGCCCCCCAGCAGGCCTCGAAAATGGCGACAGTTTCGCAGATCGCAGCCCCCCAGGGATGGCGAGGTCTAATTTGAATCGCGCGTGGCCCTCACTGTGCTGGGCCCCCCAGCAGGCCTCGAAAATGGCGACAGTTTCGCAGATCGCAGCCCCCCAGGGATGGCGAGGTCTAATTTGAATCCGCGCGTGGCCCTCACTGTGCTGGGCCCCCCAGCAGGCCTCGAAAATGGCGACAGTTTCGCAGATCGCAGCCCCCCAGGGATGGCGAGGTCTAATTTGAATCCGCGCGTGGCCCTCACTGTGCTGGGCCCCCCAGCAGGCCTCGAAAATGGCGACAGTTTCGCAGATCGCAGCCCCCCAGGGATGGCGAGGTCTAATTTGAATCCGCGCGTGGCCCTCACTGTGCTGGGCCCCCCAGCAGGCCTCGAAAATGGCGACAGTTTCACAGATCGCAGCCCCCCAGGGATGGCGAGGTCTAATTTGAATCCGCGCGTGGCCCTCTGTGCTGGGCCCCCCAGCAGGCCTCGAAAATGGCGACAGTTTCGCAGATCGCAGCCCCCCAGGGATGGCGAGGTCTAATTTGAATCCGCGCGTGGCCCTCACTGTGCTGGGCCCCCCAGCAGGCCTCGAAAATGGCGACAGTTTCGCAGATCGCAGCCCCCCAGGGATGGCGAGGTCTAATTTGAATCCGCGCGTGGCCCTCACTGTGCTGGGCCCCCCAGCAGGCCTCGAAAATGGCGACAGTTTCGCAGATCGCAGCCCCCCAGGGATGGCGAGGTCTAATTTGAATCCGCGCGTGGCCCTCACTGTGCTGGGCCCCCCAGCAGGCCTCGAAAATGGCGACAGTTTCGCAGATCGCAGCCCCCCTGGCGAGGTCTAATTTGAACTCACTGTGCTGGGCCCCCCAGCAGGGCTCGAAAATGGCGACAGTTTCGCAGATCGCAGCCCCCCAGGGATGGCGAGGTCTAATTTGAATCCGCCCGTGGCCCTCACTGTGCTGGCCCCCCAGCAGGGCTCGGAAGTGGCGACAGTTTCACAGATCGCAGCCCCCCGCAGGCAAGACAGAAAGAGGCAGGAAAGAGGCGGGAGGCGGGAGGAGGAAGGACGCGACCACACTGCTCTATTCAAAACGAATACCCAACCAAGGAGGGTTGGGAAAAACAAGGCGGATAACGACCATAACAGAAACGAAAACAACTGGATATGCCGATGATTCGCTCCTCGTTTATATGTCCCTCTCTGTCTTTCTTTCTTTCTTTCTTTTTTTTTTCTCTCTCTCTCTCTCTCTCTCTTACACCTATATAAATACACTAGAACCGCGCGCGCTTCGCGCGCTCTTAGGTTCTAGTCACGTGAATTCCTTGGCTTTCTGGTCCAGGCGCTTAGGTTCTAGGCACGTGGTCCAGGCTGACGTCGTGATCTTCTTGCCACGTCGGCTCCTGGAGGTCGGCGCGCCATCTTCGTTTTTTGTGGTCCCGGGGCCGTTTAAAGGCCAATGGTGACTGAGAACTGCCGCAAACCTCCCGTCGTGATCCTTTGACGACGCGAGGGGGTCAGGAGGGGTGAGAAGAGGGAGGGATGCTCCGTGGACCGACTCCGTGCTTTTGTCGCAACACGTCGGGTCCGGTATGTCATCCTGTCCAAGAGATTCGCTAGCGTGACTTGTTCAACGCGGGGTCCCTGGAGTGGGCCCGAAGTCCGAAAACCTTCCATGGGCCCGGTGTTTCGTCGTAAATGTTTGACGGTCCCGGGCCCCGTTTCGGGCCTCAGGAAGCGAAGAGTGGTCTGGAAGCTTCGGGAGCGGGAAGAGTACCTGAGGGCGTCTGATCAGGGGGCTGTTGGGGGGCCTCTAGGGAGCTTCTTGAAGGTCTTTGGGGGGCTTCTTGGGGGCGTTTTGGGGGCCTGCTTGGGACCTCTGGGGGCGGAGGGCTTGACATGTTCGTAGGGCATCCTCTCTTGGCCCCTGCTTGGGGCCGTCCTGGGTCCCTCTTGGGCCGTCTTGGGGACCTCTCGGGCTAGCCAGGGGCCCTTTTGGGCTGTCTTGGAACCCTCTTGGGCTGTCTTGGGGCGATCCTGTCGGCCTCTCGGGCCGTCTTCGTTCTCCTGGAAGGTGAAGAGGCGAATCCCTGAAAAATATACGTTTTCCGAAAGGAACGGGGCCATTTTTGCCTCTTGGGGCCCTCTAGGGAGGGCTTTTGGAGCCCTCTTGGGCTGTCTCGGGGGCTCCCGGAAGCCCTCTTGGAGCCATCGTCGGAGTCTTCAAGCTACATTTCGAGGCTTGTGCGCCCTCTTGATCTGTTTGGCGGCCCCCGGCGCCCTCGGGAGCCGTCCCGGGGGCGCCCCAGAGGCCCCGGTACCCCATGCGCCGTCGAGGTCGCGGTCCCAGGCCCCCAGGCCTCTTGCATGGGAATATATATATATACACATATAGAGAGAGAGAGAGAGAGAGAGAGAGAGATACAAGACTGCAGTGGCGCTTCGCGCCATGCACCTTGGTCCTTAAAGTTTGGCACGCAGGCGGAATAGCAGAAAGGTCAAGCCGACAATTTAGAGATAACTCCTTGTTGCCTTTTCCGGCATCGCCGCTATAATAATGTTATTCGTTATCCTTCCTCCATGCTTCTTTTTCCTTATGTTCGCCGTACCCTGCGCATTCTCCCAATCCTCCTCAGCTCTTTTTTGCGGAGGCTCCTCCTTGGAGGGCCTCTGGGGGCCTCACATTCGTTGTTTCAAGCTTTCTGAAAGCCTTCTGGAGACCTCCTGGGCGTATTCTGGGGGCCTCTGGGGACTTCCTCGGGCCACCCTGCCTCCAACCGCGGTTTCCCTGAACGACCAGGTCACGATTTGGAATGCTTCGGAGGGTGTCTTGAGGCCATCTTGGGCCGCCATGGGGCTCTCTGAGGGCCATCTTGGACCCGTGTTGTGCCGGTTTGGGGCTCTTGGACTGCCTGGAAGCCCTTTCGGATGGTTTTGGGGCGATGTTGGAGCCTCCCAGGCGGCTTCGGACGCCCAGAAGACCGCCGTCTTGGAGCGTCGGGAAGCCGAGAAGAGGAGAACCCCCAAATTCAGCAAAAACCAATACCAAATCAAAGATTTGTGCCTCTTGGGGCCTTCTTGGGAGTGCTCTAGGAGGCCTCTTTGGGGCCGTCCTGGAGGCCTTTTGGGCCATCTTGAGGTCACGTCGGTCATTCTTGGAGTGCTCTTGTGCTGTCTTGGGGGTCTCTGGGACCTCTCCGATGACCCCCCTGATCGCCCTAGGTGTGCTGGGAAGGCTTGGCAAAACGCCCTGCGAGGCCCGGGGGGCCGCTTCGAGACCCGTCCGGAGGGCCCCAAAGCCCCAGATCCCGGGAGTCCAGTTTTGGGGGGGGGGGGGGATGGGTTTTCCCCCCGCCCGGGCTTGTGAAAATATAGGAAGAGGAATATATACACATACATATGTGTGTATATGTATTTCCGCCTTCATGCGAAACTGGAAGGGCGAAGGTGCATGGCGCGAAGCGCGATGTAGTCATTACACGACAGATATGGCACCACGTAAAGTGTAACCCATACCACGTAGAGTCCACACCGAGAGTGCAATACTCCACTGGTCGGGGTCCACGCTGGCAAATGAACAAATACTATAAAAAGGCCCCTGGGAGACCCCGAGCAGGCTCCGCTCTACGCAGTAGTCGACGCGCCTTTACGTAACAGTAGCCGCCCAGCCACGCGAGGCCACTTTACATCTCCTGGGCTAACAGTAACTTTGGGCCAAGAGGCACTGGAGGCGACTAGGGGATCTGTGCTGGACGGGCCCCGAGCAAATCGACGAAGACGGAGGGACAAACAAGGGCAAAGCCGATCAACATCGAGCCCCAGACCTCTCCCGGGGTCCGTCTAGATCCGTTTCTGACAATCCCTGGGCCCGACAGTGGCCCGAGGACATCGATCAAGGCACAAAACCTGTTCGAACCCAGAACCTCGAAGCTCACCCCCCTTTCGTTCTGCTTCCGCCAGCTCCCCCCCGAGGGCGAGATGCCAAGCGATCGTTCATATTTTCCGGCGGTGAAACCCAGGTGATCCGATCGGGGGGAGGAAGGTGCCGGCCGATGACCGAACTTTTTTGCTCCGGGCAGCCCCATGCCCGCGCGCACTGGCTCTGCGAAGCTTCCTCTTTGGACCCGCGCAACCGACAAGGTAAGGTTCTCCGGGGTGGGACGGGGGGGCCCGACAACCTGTGTTCTCGCCGGACCCTTCACAACAGTCTCCAACCTCTCGACCCATCCCAGGTGAAGGCCCTCGCCCGGCGGCCCCAACATACGACGAGCAATTTCGCCGAGATTCGGGCCCCAGAACCATCACAGATCGATCCGGCTCGCGTGATGCCAAAGAAAGATGGGGTCGAAAAATGCCGCAGAAAGATGGGGTCGAAAACTCCCGACTTGATGTTTGGCGATGTTGCATTTTTCCGCGACGTCGAATCTCAGATAAGGCATCGGGGGCGGGCCTTCGTAGAAGGACCCTCCCCTAACGTTGCCCCTGATCCTCCCCTTCCCTGCTGCCCCCCCTTTCTTCCTCGGTCACGGGGGTGATCTCCTGGAGCTTCCATGAAATTAAACACTTCGGAGGATGAGGGCGGGCGCCGCGGAAAGCAGCGGTGCCGCGAGGGGTCGTCTCCTGAACAACGCCTTGCCCTTCTGGCTCCACTCGAAGTCCGACTCGAAGAGCTCCGGCAGCCTCGCGATCTCAGACCCGCCAAGCTTCAGGACGTCCTTCGGTGGGTCCTCCTTCTCCTCCTCCTTCTCCTCCTCCTCCTCCTCCTCCGCCTCCTCCTCCTCCTCCTCCGCCAGGGGGCTTCGCAGTCTCGGATCGGCCAGGCTTCAAGGCATCGTTCGGCCGAGAGGCCATCTCTGGTGCCGCGCTGCGGGAAGCAGGATGAGGACCTGCCGAACTTCAGACACCCTTCGGCCGATCGGGGGGATTTGTTGGTGCCAGGCAGCCAGGTGCCCAGATGCCAGCGCACGCATGCGCCCGACGCACCAATTTTTGGACACCCCTCACACGCTTCAAGACCACATTGGGAGCTCCACCGAAGGCCCAGATGCCAGCGCTCGCATGCGCCCGTCGCGCCCAGTTTGGCACACGCATCACACGCTTCATGGCAGCATAGGAAGCACCACCGAAGGCCCAGATGCCAGCGCTCGCATGTGCCCACCGCACCCAGTTTGGCACACCCCTCGCACGTTTCGTGGCCCCATCGGGAGCGCCACCGAAGGCCCAGTTGCCAGCGCTCGTATGCGCCCACCGCGCCCATACTGGCACGCCCCTCGCACGTTTCGTGGCCCCATGTGGAGCTCCACCGAATGCGGTGCACACAACGACGGTGCCCACAACTGCAGATGGTCGGGTGTATCGCCAAACAAGTTGGCCCGATGATCCAGGACGCTCCTCGACGGTCCTCGCCGAGACAGGATGCACTCGTCCGACCGATGCCAAGCCGTCTTCATCTCCTTTCTCTCCTCCTCCTGTTTCTCTTCCTGTTGGTCCTCCTCCTCCTCCTCCTCCTGGTCCTCCTCCTACTCCTTGTCGTCGTTGATTGAATCATCACCCTACCTTGCGTATTCGTCACTGCCGTCGTACTCCTCCTGTTCCCCCTCCCCCTCCTCCTCCCCCTCCCCCTTCCCCCCCTCCTCCCGCCCCTTCCCCTCCTCCTCCTCCTCCTCCTCCTCCTCCTCCTCCTCTTCCTCGTCCTCCTCCTCTCCCTCTCAGATCGTCGCCTTTTCAACTGCGCCAAATCGCATGCTTCGTTTGAGACGCTCCAATCTGTCCACCACTTCAACCGCCAATGTGAACGTTGGTCTGGGGGCAGGGGTGGGGGGATGGGGGATGGGGATGAGTTAGCGGGGAGGGTCGTGTGCCCTTCCCTCTACGACGGCAGCCTCCGCGCGCCGTCCAAGTGACGGCCCAAACCAAGCGAAGTGCCCTCTCATATGAACGGCGAGGGCGCCGTGCGCCTTCCGCACGCTGCGGCGCCAATCCAATCCTCAACCGAACCTTCCGCCGAGGCGCAGCGGGGCGCATGCACCCAACGGAAATCACGCCAATGCATCGGACGGGGGCGTGCCGAGGGGACGGGCGGGATGCAAGGAGAAGTCCACGAGCGGCGAGCACATCGGTATCCACGCTCTCGCGGTCCGAATTCCGGGGCGCGATCGGACATGAGTCTGGCGAAGGACCCAACCATATGCAATTGTAACTAACGCTCGTTCGCGAGCCATGTCGCACGACACATCGGCTCAGCACGGGCAATGGGAGATGACCTACGCATCTATCGGGTAAGTGGAACCACCATTTTGTTTAGAAACTGTCTGCCAAATCGGCTGTCCATGCGCTGCAAAACGAGGGCCCTTGAATCATGCGGTCAGAGCCTCATGAGGAGGGAGGGAGGGAAGCGGGAGGGGCGGAGGCGGGAGGGGCGGCCCGCTCGGATTCCAACATGGAAATTGGGCTTCCATAGACAGGGGGCTTCCGCCTGAGACTTCCTCGAAATTTGTTCACAAACGAGGCTTCCGCCTGAGACTTCATCGAAATCCTAGCCTGTTGAGCTCGAAAATGACGACGGTTACAAGTTCCCGATGACCCGCTAGGGAGGGGGATCCCACTTGAGACTTCCTGGAACTTCACTCACAGGCGAGGCTCCCACCTGAGACGTCCTCAAGATTCACGTCTGAGGAGCTCGAAAGTGACGACGGTTACAAATTTCCGATGACCCACTCGGATTAAAAACATGACGCGCGGGACACATACGGAGGGGGCTCCCGCTTAATACTTCCTCGAAATTTACTCACAAACGATGTTCCCGCCTGAGACTTCCTCAAGATTCAGGCCTGAGGAGACCAACGCAATTCACGCACAGACGAGGCTCCCGCTTGATATTTTCTCCGTATTCATGCCACAGGAGCCCAAAATAGACAGTTCCAGGTTCCCGGTGACCCGCTCGGATTAAAAACATGAGGCTCGGGACCCCTAGGCAGGGGGCTCGCGGTGGTGAGTGACAGTGAGTGGTGGTAGATAGATGATAATGATGATGATGGTGGATAATGATGATGTGGGAAAGACGGTGCGTGTGTGTATGTGCTGATGATTATGAATGTGTGTGTGCTGGTGATGATGACAGTGTTACTGATAACGATGAGTGTGACAACGATTGTGATGGTGATGGTGATGACGTGGGAGAGATGGGGAAAGGTGGGAGGAGATCCTGCGCGGAGGTGTGCAGAATCAACCAAGAATCCCTCTCAGGATGTGGGGACAAACTCGGAGGTCCTCGAGGATGTCTCGGTTCGGCGCTGGACCCCGATCCCTGGCGCGCGGAACGCGCCAGGGGCGACGTCAGAGGTGCCGCCGGGGGGCGCCAACGCCAATCCACGAAAGCCGCGCGGACCTTCAATGTGTCACGTGTCTGTTTTGATTCGTTGTCCCGGTTATGTATGGCATTGGTTCAAGTGTAATGCGATTCGAATGTATCTCAACTGTAGGTCAACTGCGGTCACGGTGGAATCCTTGTAATTCAATTGGCATTGCAATTTACATCGGATGTATGTCAAGTGTACCTCACGTGTAGTTAAAGTGCGATTCAACAGTGGTGCAGGTGTATTTCACGTGCGGCTACTGTTTAGCCCGTGAGATCCAACTGCTGTTTGGTAGCAAACAAGTGTGGTTCAATTGAGGCTCAAAGCCGGCCCAACTGTAATTCAGGTGTAAGTCAAGCGTGGTTCCGGCGTAGTCATTGTAGTGCAGGTCTGAGCCACATGTAGTTCAAATCTAGTTCAAGTCCACGTGTACTTTCAATGTAGCTTAAGTGTGGTTCAGCTGCACTTCGTGTGTAGGTTAAGCGTCATCCAGGTGCAACTCTTCTAGTTCAAAAGTGTTCAAGTGATTTTCACGTGAAATGCAACCCTGAAGGAATTCAAATGTAGTTGCAATGTGGTTCACGTGTAGTTCATGTGTATAAAATCGGTTAATCAATGGTCCGTGTAATTCGAATGCAGTTCATATGTCTCTTACGTGTTGATCAAGTGCAGGTCCTGCGTAGATCAAGTGTAGTTCAAGTGTGGTTCAAGTGTAGCTCGCGTGTAGTTCAAGTGTGGCCTAGGCGTAGCCATTGTGGGTCAAGTGTGTGGTCACAGTGGCGCTGGCGCGTAGTTCAAGTGTACTTGAAGCACGGTGCAAGGGTAACTCAGTCTAGTTCACGCGCGATTCAGGCGTAGTCCGTGTAGTTTAAGTGTAGATCAAACTTAATTCCAATGCAATTCAAATTCAGTGCCAGAGTAGCGCAAGTGAAAATGACATTGTGCTCAGCGCAGATCAAATGAGGATCCAGTCTGTTCAGGGTGTCATGCAGGCGTCGGTCAGTCGTGGTTCAGGCGCGGTTCAGGCGCGCTTCTGGCGCGGCCCATGCGCAGCCCAGGTGTAGTATCAGCGCGTCCCTGGAGTAATATTAGTGCATTTCGAGTGCAAGCCAAGCGTAGTGCATGCGAAATTCCGGTGTACTTCAAGCGCGGCCCAGTCGCGGCCCAGGCGCTGCGCCCTCGTGGCGCGCCGCAGCATGGCTGAGCACGCGAGGCGCGGGCGTCGCTCAGGCGCGCCGCAAGTGGAACGCAGGCGTTCGCCGCGCGTGGCTCGAGCAACTGACGCGCGCCTCGGACGCGGCGTTGCCGCTCCGCCCGCGGGGAGACAGGCGCGCCCGAGAGCGGGCGGGCGGCGGGCTCGCCGCCGGCTCGGGCCCGCGCGTCGGCCTGCCAATCCAGCGCAGACGCGCCGCGACGCCGCGGCCGACGGCCGCGTGCAGCGCAGTCTGGCCCGCGCGCCCTTCAGGCGCAATAAAGGAGGAGATTGCGCGCGACGCAGGTGCGCGCGTTCGCGATGCCCCTCCCCCCGATCGCGCGCTCAATAGCGGCGCGGCATCGCTGATTTCCGATTTCCGCGCGCCGCCCGGCCACTGCGCCGCGCGAGGAAGCGGCCGCGTGGCATTCCGCGCGCGCGAAGCCGACGGCGGCGCAGCAGCTCGCCCCGCTGGGGCAGCGCGCCAGCGCCCCGTCGACCGCGGCGGCGCGCCGATTGCCGCGCGCCCCGCGGCGACGCAAGCGCGGCCGGCAAACCCGGGGGTCACGTGCAAAGACATTGGCCGCCGACAGCGTGAAAAACGATGCGCGAGTCATGCGCCAACGCAGCCACCCTCTCCGCACACTGCGGTTTCACGCGCCAGGTGCCCTTCCACTCCACGCGCGGCCCCATCTCCGACCCACGCTAGATTGCGTGCGCAGGCGCGGTTCGGGCGCGCCCCGTGCGTCGCGAATCGAATGAGCAGGCGGTGCAAACCGCGGCGCGCGCGGGGTCCGCCCGCGGCCCAGGGCGCCCCCCGCCCGCGGCCTGTTGCCGCGCAGAGCGGCCCCTTGTTGGCCGCGGGCTTGAAATTGGGCAAAGGCGCGCTCGCGCCTGCGACGCTTGCCGCGGCCGCGCACAAGGGGGGCTTCACTCCGATCGCACCCGTCTGCCCTGGGAAAGCCGCCGTTCGAGCGAAACTCCCTCAGGTCGAGCGTGGCGGGGATCAGGGCCTCGACGCTGCTCTGGGGCGTGCTACCGCAATCCCCGCTTGTGTCGCAACGGCTGAAGTGTCTCGTGTTTGCGCGTGCAAGTGTTGTCCCAGTGTGATGCGGATGTAGTTCAAGTGCGGATCAGGTGTAGCCAATGTCGCTCGAGTGTGGTCCAG